CTCAAGTGCCTCGACTTCCGCACCACCGCAGACAATCGTCTGCCCATTTACAGCAAGCGCAGCGTGCTGCTGGAGGCGATTGAGAGGCACCCTGTGGTCATCGTGACAGCACAGACGGGGTCCGGCAAGAGCACGCAGATCATTCAGTACGTGTCCGAGAGCGCAGAGAGATTTGGGCTGACCCCGGGCACCAAGATGGTCGTTTGCACACAGCCAAGGTCAGTACCAGCGCAGCGCGGCATCGCGGCACAAGAACGCCTTGTCAGTGTGTATGTGCCTGTGCCTGGGTGTCTGTCTGTCTGTATGCGTGTATGCAGGAAGATAGCTGCCTCAATGTTGGCCAAGCGAGTAGGGGATGAGTACGGCAGTCCGCAATCCATCACAGTGCCCAAGTTCCCTGGATGCAGAGTGACATCGGGTCGCCCACCCATTGCCCACTTCACCACCGATTCATCTCTCGTCAACTACTGCCTGGCAAACAAGAACCTCGACGACTATGGAGTCGTGATCATTGATGAGGTATGCACACATGCGGTCCGTCACCCACAACGAAAAGAAAGAGGCGGTAACCGTGTGGGTCACATCTGCTTTGTATGTGTCCATGTGTATTCAGGCCCACGAGCGCAGCCTCAGCACAGACCTTCTCATCGGCCTTGTGAAGCTGGCCATGGAACAGCGGCCCGACCTTCGTGTCGTCATCACGTCGGCAACCCTGGACACCGCCAAAGTCGCAAGTTTCTTCGCGAAACCCGGCCAGTCCGATCCGCCGATCATAGAGATATCCGGTCGCACCTACCCCATCACAGTGCGATACCTGACTTCCGCATCCGTCGTCAAGCCGCCAGCCGTCTTGGCCGACCCCAGCGGCGAACCAACGATCGAGCACTACAGCCCAGTGGACAACTACCGTGAGGTGGCCCGCTCGGCGCTCAAGGAGCTCGTGGTGCGGCTGGAGACGGAGCAGCAAGAGGGGGACGACGACGCGTCGGGACACGTGCTGCTCTTCGTGCCTGAGCGAGCTGATGTCGACAGCATCGTCAGAGATCTGAAAAACGATCTCCAAGGTCGACGGACCCTGGAGATATTCGGGGTGCATGGGGGCAGCAAGGAGGAGGCCAACGAACTGCTAATGAGCAAGACGCCGGGCGTGCGCAAGATTGTAGTCGCTGTAAGACACTTTCAGGAAGCAGCAGAGTGTCCAATGTGCATTCAGCCATGGGTCTGCTCTTGCCTCAGACAAACATCGCCGAGACATCCTTGACGATAGCCAACACGCGCCACGTGATCGACACGGGCCTGAAGAAGGGCGTGGAATTCGATGCTCGACGGTCGATGCAGGTCAAAAGGAGCACATGAGCAAACGAATGTATTATCCAAAAGCATCCATCCCCCTTTGTCCCTTCAGATCCTCAAGCTCTCTTTCATCACTCAGAGTTCGGCCATCCAACGCGCGGGGCGCTCTGGCCGGACTGCACCAGGCACCGTGTACCGCCTCTACTTGCCAGAAGTGTACCAGGCTATGTGCCTCTCAGACGAGCCCGGTACGTGCACGGACACATTACCGCATTCATGTCTTACACTACTTATCCCTCTGCCTTGACCTTATCTCTCAGAGGTGAAGCGGTCTCATTTGGGTCTGCTGCTCATGAAGCTGAAGCTCAAAGGTGTGTCGTCCTGCCTCTCATTCCCTTTCCTGGACCCCCCTGACCAGAAGAGCCTCGAGGCGGCAGCCGAGAGCCTCTACTATGCCGGCTGCCTGATGGCCAAAGACCCTGACGCACCCCTGACGCCCGTCGGCCAGCAAGTCGCCCAGATGGACACCTTTGACCCCCTCCATTCTCGAGCCCTCCTCAAGGCCAGGGAGCTCCAAGCAGGGGCTGCGGCGCCCAACCTGCCTTACGGCATCTTGATCAGCCTGACGACACTGAGCAATGCCTACAAGATCTTCCCCAAGTCCGATAAGGATCGACTCAAGGCGTATCGTGACGAGTGCGGTCTGCACCACGGAGGGGACTTTCAGCTGCTGATGCATCTCTACCTGGAGTGGTACAGTCGCCACTCCACTGCTGACCGGCCATCACCGCAGCCGCTCGAGCGCGTACAAGGCAATCGTTGGGCCTGCAGATGCGAGTGGTGCCAGAAGACTGGCGTGCAGTTCTGGGCGATGCGCCAGATCTACACTGAGCTGGAGGAGAAGCTGGAGGGGTGCGTGCGGGCTGGACAAGCCGTCGAGGCGTCTGCTGCTGGCCTCACGCCATCAGACCCTGAGGAGCAGGCACGGCTGGCGGACCAACTGGCTGTTGCAGTGTCGTCGGCCTTCGCCCCCAATCTGTGTGTGCGACGAGGTCGGTGGGACTTCCAGATTGTACGACTCAAGACGAAGGCATTTCTGGAGCGGACGTCGAGCGTGGAGGCGGCGGATTTGCAGTGGTGTGTCTTCACTGAGACGTTCGGCACACCGACAGGGAAGATCCTGATCAGGAACATCATGCCTATCACGCGGGACGTGATCACGCGGGCGGCACCCACGTTCGCCAATCAGGTGGGAGCGACAGGCAAGAACAGATTCATGGCTACATTTACGGTTCCTTCATGTATGCACGCAGATTGACATGGCTGACATTGAGAGGCAGACCACTGTCGAGAAGGCGATTGGCCCGATCGCATCGCTGGGACTGGAGACACCTTCTCTTCGAGCATTCAATGAGGTGACGACAATAAAACGACAATAAGACAAACAGCAGGATTTCCGATTGTTGCTGTCCTTCATGTCCATCCACCAGATGGATGACGTGTATGTGGATTTCAACGACAAGGCGGGGCTGGTCACCATCATCACAACCAGAGAGCAGGTCTCGCTGATCGAGGACAGCATCTTGGACAACGAGCGGCGGCTGAGGGAGACAGCAGGCCGCGAGACGCATCACCACACATATGCTCCCGGCACTCGGGTCGTCATTGGCTCTGGAGGTGACGTCAAGCGCGTGTTGCTGCCATACGAGTCCAACGTGTTGAAGGTCTCGCTCACGGGGCCGACCAATAGAGACCACCTCACGGCGCTGCGCCAGCAGGTGGAGACGTATCTCACCCAACAAGCGCAGGTGACTCAGTTCCGCGTCCAAGTGCGTCAGTCGTGCATACTCGTGTTATTCGACACTTGCGCCGCCCTCGACATGTATGCGAGCCATCTGCTTGCCTTCCTGCAACAAAACAGCCTGGGCGGCCGTGTAGAGATTGTGGTGCCTCAGGGGTCGAGCTCAGTCCAGGAAAGTGACGTCGTTATCACGGCGACGGGCCAGGGGGTTGGAGGGGTGGGTGCGGGGGAGCCTGTCGTGGCCAGTATGCGCCAACTGTCAGACTTTGTTCGGTGCCAGGATACGCACTTAGTTCAGGTACGTGCACACACGACGAACAAAAACACCGACGCGCAGCCACTGCTTTGTCCTGCGTTTGTGCACCAACAGGTCAAGTTTTACACCACGGGCGATCCGACCCCTGAAGATCATCGGGCATTTCATGACGCCTTCAAGCGACGCACAGACCTCGGTGACGTCATGCACGGGAGCTATCATTTCAGATCGGATGCCGGCTTCCGCAAACCAAATGGACACGTGAGAAAGACACCGAGGCTGATGCATCGTGACGACCAATGGCCATGGATGTGTGTGATCGCAGGGGTACTTGTACTGCAGCAACCAGGCTGCTGCCCAGGATTTGACGCGTCTCAATCAGCAGAAGGGCGTCATCGGCACGGGACCCGTATTCCTCAAGTACCTCCCGTCCACCACTATGCTGATTCTGCGGTCCCTCGTGGAGAAGTCAGCGGTGCTCGAGGCCATCAAGCAGCTTGACAGACACCCCAGCATGCCCAGCATGATGCTCAGAGTGCAACGGCACCCGAAAATGTGCGTGACGTCAGCCACATACACCGGACACACAGATGAAGACGAACGGCTGTTGTGTGTCCCTTCAGGCTGGGTGTGACGAAGATTCTGATGAGAGGTTCAGAGGCGGATCGTCAGCTCGCCCGCGACAACATCTTGAGCATCTTTGTCGGAGCCGCCCTCGAGATGACAGCTGCGCGAGGCGGGTTTGAGGCCCTGCAGTGCATGACCGACAAGGGCTGGGTCGAGAAACACCTGACACCTATCGAGAAGCGATGGGGCGTTAACATCTCTCTGGACTTCCGCAACAGCGTCATCCGTATCATCGGCAAGGAACCCGAGAAAACTCATGCATACAGACAGGTAGGTAAACAGGAGTGAGTACAACACGTGGGCTTACACAGAAATGATGTATGTGTACCCCCTTCCCGCTTAGCTGGAGGCTCTTGTCGATGGTCTTGCCCTGGAGAAGCTGTCGATTGGCAACCGACGAGTGCGAGGTGCCCTACTCCGCCCACGCACTGTGCAGTCGCGTCCCTCTTCCCGGCAGACGGGGCGACAATCTGCTGCCGAGCCCAACATCCCGCATTTGGAGGACTTGCAGCAGCAGCACGGCGTCCAGATCGTCTTCCTGCCTGCTCGCTGGGCGGAGGGGGGGGAGGCGCGCTTTCGCATCTTTGGCGAGGAGGCCAAGGTGCGAGCCGTCAAGGATCTGCTGGTGAGGATGGACCAAGAAGCTGCCGATGACCGAGCGGCGGTGAGCACATCGTAACGATAGAGGGAGGGAAGGATGAGTGCCGTGTATCAGTCAGGAGTTGTGGTTTGCCTTGCTTGTCAGGCGCCGAGCCTTCTTTCGCGTCGTCAGGGGACACGCGTGCCTTTGCCTGAGTGCCCGATTTGTCTGTGTGAGGTCGAAGAGAAGGAAGCGGGACTGCGCCTCTTCTGTGGACACACATATCACCAGGAATGCCTTGCCAATCAGGTGAACGAGCGTTCTCCGTGCCGTCCGTTCGCCATGTTGCCTGGAGGCACTGCCTGTCTGTCTGTCTGAGTTGGTCAGATTCAGCAGGCCAAAGAGGGCCAGCTGCCGGTCGTGTGCCACCATGACGGCTGCGGCAAGCCCATCAGTCTGCCAGAGATCCGCCGAGCGCTCAAAGGCGACAGAGAGCAGATCGAGAGCTTCTTCAAGGCCGCGTCGCAGCACTACATCAACACCAACAGCAACACGCGCTTCGGCGTGTGCCTGACGACTGATTGTCCGCAGATCTACAGCCTCGAGGACAAAGACACCAAACCCATATTCCGGTGCAATGTCTGCAAGAGCATCCTCTGCAAGAAATGCGGGACACCCCATGACGAGACGTATGCAAACCAGCCACACACACATACGCACACACAAATGTCGATCCACTGGCGATGCATCCCCCCCTCTCTCTCTCTCTCTCTGTGTGTGTGTGTGTGTGTAGGTTGACGTGCCAGGAGTTCAAGGTCGATCCCACAGGTGTGTCGAAGTACCTTGCGACCGTCCAGAGTGGCGGCAGGCTGTGCCCCAAGTGTGGGACGGGCATCGAGCGGTCTGAGGGATGCAAATACGTCAGGTGTGTGGTGGATAGACGAGGAGGGAGGCAAGGAGGGAGGCAAGTGGGCGGCAAGGGGCAGCCAGGGCAGATCTCTGTGTGTGTGTGTGTGTGTGTGCAGATGCCGCTGTGGCACGGAGCTGTGCATTTTGTGCGGCCATGTGTGCCGAACGAGTCATGAGGAGCATTCGTGCAGAGAGAGTGGATTCGCCTTCCTAAACAGATAGGGTAAACAGATGGACAGACGCATCAGAAGATTTTCCTGCTGAGTAGACAGATTTTTGTGCTGGTTTTTTTTTTCCGTCTACATACGTACGTACATATGTACATGTATGTATGTGTGCATGTGTTGTAATCCACACACTAGTTCTGTGTCGCGTGTTATATGCCTTCACGAGTTTGTGTCGTCTTGGATGGCTTCGAACGGATTGATTGCAATAAGGCGATGCTAGCTAGCAGTCTCTCATAAGTTGGTCGGGCCAACAGGACCGTCCAGACCGTCATTTATGCTATGCAAGCCAGTCGTATTCGGATGAACGTGAGCAAGCATTCTCAGATGCACTTTGTTTCCTCTGTGAGGTTCAGTCACCATACACAAAGAACTGCACTGTACTGTACAGGAAGGAAGGAGGCCCAGGGACAAAATCGCTGCTCCATGCCATGCCATGCAACCAACAGTAAAACATCCACTTGCATCAAAAACTACTTGACGCATTCACTTCGTCTTCACCCACGCCTTCAGCACGCCTTCGATCTTATCTGCAACACACACACACACACCGCACACGAACTTGCGCTCCGGTCAGCGAGGCTCCCTACACCGTGTTTGCGTACCGAGCGCCAGCTGGATGTCTTCGCTGCTGATGTGATAATACGTGACTGCGCGGATCACATCACCGTGGATGGGCATCACTTTGACGGACACCCCCGTGCCGTTGTCCACCCCATTCGTCGCCTCAGGCCCTTTGCCGTACTCAATCGGTTGAGCGACGCGGCCGTCAGTCAGCTCATGTGCGTCGCTGGTGCTCAGCAGAAGCTCACACAGCTTTGCAGCAGATATCTGGGTTGTCCTGAGACAACGGACAGAAAACACGCTGACCTTGCTGTTCATGTGTTGTGTCTCTGATGCATCCGTCCATCTTGCCTGAACATGACAATATTCGTCTCCACCGCCCCCTCGACCGACACGCCGTAAGAGGACATCCTGGACAAACCGTCCGCCAGCATTTTTGCATTGGCGTGGTCCTCGTGCAGCCGTGCGGGCATCTTCGTGAGTGAAATGAGACCAGGGGCAGCCAGCACCTACAGAAGGAAGACTCGCACAGTCAACGAAGCACGACAGAGCAGTAGTGTCAGCGTTGCTATCTATCCCTGCTCACCCCAGCCTGTCGCATGCCGCCCCCGAGCGCCTTCCGCAGCCTTTTACATCGCTGGATGAAGTCCTTGCTGCCAACAACCACCGCTCCCGTCGGGCTGCCCAGCCCCTTGCTCATACATGCGCTCACACTATCAGCATGCTTGCAGAGATCGGCGACCGACACCCCAAGCTGCACACACAAGCGGCACATTCGCCGCAAACGGCTGGGATTAGACCCTGTGTGCCTACCGCCACTGCGGCATTCATGATCCGTGCGCCATCGACGTGGACCTTCAATCTGACCACAGCCACAGACACACAACACACACTCAGCGTGTGGTCATCTGCCTCGCTCACTGTGTCTGTCTTCGGAAGCCTACCTACCCATGTTTCTTGGCGATTTGATGCACTTGTTGCATGTAGGCCACTGTAAGGACGCGGCCGCCACACTTGTTGTGGGTGTTTTCCAGACAGATCTATCAGACAGACACAGACAATCCGCCGTATATACAGCCAGCCACCGGCGTGTCTGCCAAAGGTAGATTGGGAGGTATGTGAGTAAAGCCCACCAGTCGTGTTATCGGGTAGTGCAGATTGTCCGTCCTGATGCCCGCCTGCAGACAGACCACACCAAGGAGCCATCCACAGCCGTCCCTACAGGCAGGTGCTGCTGCAGATGTCATGTGTGTGTGTCCACACCTCTAGCGCGTCGAGGCAGAGTGTGCCGTCAGGGAGGTTGGGCACTGTCCGCGGGTGCACACCCAGAAGTGACGAGATGTTGCCTTGCTCGTATACTGCTATCAATCAATGATCGACCCGCACACACACAGACAGACGGACAGGCATTGGTGTCGCCTGATTGTGTGTTAATTTCACGTGCGTGCCGACCGTGTATGTGGCACAAGTTGCCCAGCAGCACCTCCTCGCCTCTCCCAGTGCAGTGCGCGCCCACACAAACCAAATTCCCCTGCACACGTACGGCAACAGATACAGACAGCGAAAAGAGCCAGAGTCGGGATACTGACAGCGATACCCCAGCCTAGCCTTACCATGCAGCCAGACGGCACGAACAACGAGTCCTCCTTCCCGAACAGTGCAGCCGCTGTTGCTTGCAAATGATGAACCGTCGGATCCTCGTCCCAGACATCGTCACCGACGACTGCCGAGTACATGGCCTCTCGCATCTCCTGCGTCGGCTGTGTGAAGGTGTCGGACCGCAGATCTATCACCTTCATCGTCAGCCACTCCTTTCCACAACAGATGGGTGGCTTTCACGGTTTGTCCGAAACATGCACAGTCAAAACAAAATGGCATGGATCACACGGCAAAAGGCCTGTCCGACTGCTCATCCCCAGGGCTCGTCCACCCCGCAAGTATTCGCAGCAAGTGCGCATGTGCCCCTGTGTCCCACTCAAGTCTGTTGAGAGGCAGCAGGCACCAAGCAAGGCAATAAAAAAGATGCTGCGATGTGCGACACAGTCGAGTAGCGTAGCACAAGAAAAGACAAGGCGAGAGACAAAGCAAGAGGAAGCAAGAAACCGCACTGTGTGATGATATGGCAACAGCAACGGGTCACCAGGAGTACCCCAGCTCCTCTTTCCGCTTCAGGTACATCGCAAACCTGACCGATGGATGGACCCAACATACACACAATCAGCGGTGTAGATATTCCAGCGTCAGGCAATGTCCAGTTGATTTCATCAGTCTTCTTAAGATACCTGGCTTGAGCATACGCGAGGAAATCAAAGGACATGTCGGACGGCTGTGGGTCGTCCATGAGACACTCGCCCGCCCTCCCGTCTTCAAGAGCAACAGGACTGCACGATGTATCCCCAAACAGACAGAAGGCCCTCCCCACCCCCCACAGGCCCCACAACAGATTCGACGCTAAGCAAAATCCCTCCACCTGACACAACAGACACACATATACACAGATACTGGCACATGCAGTGCGAGTGCCATTCACCTGTTGAAGGAAGGGGTCGATCATGCTGATGTCCTCGGGCAGGATTGGGCTGCCGAGCAGCTCAGACAGGTAGACGCTGGCGAAGAGGCGGCGCCGCTTGATGCATGGGTATGCCTCAGTGGTGACACTAAAGCAGGGCGGCTGTGTGACGCAGTAGTCAATTGTCGCCTCGGTGAATATGTTGGCAATGTCGAAGGCAGCATAGTTGTAATCCGAATACTCGAAATCAATCAAGCGGATGCCCTCGCTCGTCTGCACCAAGGAAGCGGCATATATGGGAAAGCTAAGGCGCCTGTGTGTGTCTGCCCATGCTGTGTATCGACTCACCTTCATGATGTTGTTCTCTTGGCAGTCGTTGTGGCAGAAGACAATCGCGCGGGCGGCCAGCATGGCCCTCTCGGTGAGTGAGCTGGCCTCTGGCGGCTCGTCTGCCTGCTGGATGACGTCTGAGTTGAGAAATGACTCCACCTCTGACGCTATCTGAGGCAGATTCAGGGCCTGACGAAGCACAACGACAAGGAGCACTTCCACGTTTGGGACGGCGGCACCAGCTTCGAATGTCGCTTACCGCCAGTTGTTGCTGCTGGGCTTCAGAGGGGAAGCTGGCCTCCAGACTCAGCTGCAGACACAAAATGGGAAGGAACACACAAACATGCACTGCACTCGCCATTGCCTTCTCATTCGTGTGCTATGTATGTCGCCCCACCTTCATCCACTGTCTGAGCTTGACCGGCAGACACGGCCGCCTCACAATGCCGCACACATCACTGGCACCAAGAGCCAGACGATGCAGGCGGGCAATCTGATACACAAGGCACAAGAAGCAGCGCCTTATGGGTCGTCAGCGTGATGTCATGTCTGCAGTGTTACTTACTTGTGTGGCGACGCCCGCCAGCTCAGGTGGACACTGGAGTTCCTGTACGAGTAGAGGTCTGCCCCACACCCACTCCTCTATCCGACCACCCTGCAGGACACACCAACCACACCGACACAATACAGCCAACAAGCCCTCCAGCCATCCCATCCCATCATTCTCTGTCTTGTCTGTCCCCTCCCCACCTGGAAGTTGGCGATCATTTTGGGCGCCATGTTCCTCTGCCCGAGTGCCCGGAACACGTCCAGCTCGAAGCGCGAGTCATAGAACTTGGAGTTGTCCCCATAGACGCGGAACAGCACTTGCTGATGCACCAGTGGGCTGGATGCATCTCTCGGCACACTAGGGCTGGTGGTGGTGCCGGTGACGGCCGAAAAAGACTCGGACGACTTGCACCGTCTGCAGGATGGCTTTGGTGTCCCGACGGCCACGCGGAAGAGCTGGTTGGTCAGGCCGGCCTCTATCTGCTCTATCTCTATGTGGTGAGGCGCGATGGCCTCCTGACAAACAAGACAGACAACAAAACACGAACAAATTGAACACGAAACGGTAGAGACCAGCCCGTCAGCGTCTGCATCTTTGTGTGTCGATTGTGCTCACCCATCCCGGGACGTTGAGGATGCATATGACGCGTATGGTGGAGGGCTTCGATAGCATCCTGATCCGCCTCCTCGTGCGGGGCGATATGTCATCGTCTGGCAGGCTGTGGTGTGGAGAATGATGCTGCTGGTCTTCTCCGATGAGGCTGATGACGAGCTCCTCTTCGACAGACAGCCCTTGGCCCGCCTCCTCCGCCTCAGTGGTGACAGACGAAGCGTCAAAGGGGAGCGGCTGAAGGAAGAGCTTCCTGCGGCTGGTGTCAGCTGCTTCAGCCTCATGGGACGACAGAAACGTGTCCATGGTGGAGGGAGAGGAAGAGGCCCCTTTTCCCCTTCTTCCAGGGAACTAAGCTCGCAGTGAGAGGCTAGGGCGCTACTTAAAACGCGCGATCGGCCTGCGGATCTCTCCCTTTCCCTCCCCTCCTCTGCCGTGGCTACATTCGTCTCGCAGCGGGTGATTTTGTTGTTGATCTTGCGTCAAATTGAAAGCAGTCTCACAATGGCAGTGAGTCTCTCGAGCGGTGAGCTCATTGACATTGTGGATCATGACAATAGCGTCATCAGCACCGCCACGAGAAGGGAGATGAGATGTGACAATCTTCTGCACAGGTCATTTCATGAGAGACCGAACAGACTCTGCCTGCCGTCTTCCCGTCGTGTGCCGTCCTCCCTTGCTGCTGCAGGTCGACTGCGTGTGTTGTGTTGGATACGACGCTGAAGAGCCTCTTCATCCACAAGCGGACGAGCGTAAAAGACTATTTTCCCTCTCACTTTGACGTGAGCTTTGGCGGTGTGGTTGCTGCCGGGGAGTCGTATGAAGACAATGTCGTCCGAGAGATCAAGTAGGGATGAGGCTTTCACGGATCAAGGTGGAACACAGTGAGTAGGTGACACTCGCAGGGACTGTGTTTCTCTGTCTATCTGCCTGTCTGTGTCCTTTGTGTCTGTCGTGTCTGAGTAGGGAGGAGGCCGGCATTGAAGGCGCCAAGCTGCACCAGCTGACGACAGTCTATCACGAGGACGACAGGGCGAGGGTGTTCACTTGTATCTTCCTCACCGTCTTTGCCGGCGACGTGACCGACCTCATTGCCCAGCCTGAGGAGGTCGAGTACATCGAGAAGGTGGCTGTCGAGGAGGTGCAGAGGCGGATCGACAGCGGCGTCCCCTTTACTGGCGATGCGAAACGAGTGTTCGCAACCGTTCGCCAGTTCCTACAGAGCGCTGAAGCAATCGAGGTGCTCGAGGGACTGGCTGAAGCAGACGTCGGTAATCCTGTTGTCGATGAGCTAGACGACTGGGAGGACGGGCTGACAGCCGCCATAGAGCAGGTGGAGCGCATCGTCACACCCTGTAATGAAGAGCTGGAGAGCACCAGGGCGGAGGAGATCTTGGCTCTCAAGGACATCTATGGTGACGATTTTGTGGCGCTGTCGAATGACTTGATCTTCATCAAACTGCGGCCGCTGGCCCTCACACACGAGCACGGCGACGAGCACGGCGTGATAGCGTCGCTGATGATTCTGCTGACGTCCAAGTACCCCTTCCGCTGTCCAGTATTCGAAATCGACTCCGACAAGCTCACTCTCGCGCAGGCCGATTCGCTGTGGGGGCTGCTCGAGAGGGAGGCAGGGCGGCTGATTGGAGGCGTCATGCTGCACGAGCTGGTGTCTGTCGCCACTCACTTCATCAGCGAGGTGATTGAGGAGGAGAGGCGAAGGGCAGAGGAAGCTGACCGCAAACAAAAGCAAGAGGCGGACGAAGCGGTACGTATGTACGCAAAGGACAAACGGACGGACGGACGGAGAAAAGGAATGTGCGTTGTCCAGATCATCCACTATGATCACTCACTGCTCATGTGTGTGCGGTGCGTCTTGGCGCTGCAGGCTGTCTTCGAGGGCAGCGGTCACGAGCACATCAACCTGTCTCCTGCCCACGCCACTCTTCCGTCAGCTCCATCGATCTTCAAGTACTCACCTCAGCGGTATGTGTGCCTGTCTACCGTGCTCAAGCAGCTCCCACCACACCAAAAGGTGGTTCATGTGGAGACCATACTCAGAGATGACCACGCCAGACGGGTAGATAGGGTAGACAGAGAAATGAAATGAAGGCCGGGCCGCACAGCTGTGTGTGTGTTTGGTTCCTGTCCGCCTGCATTGTCCTCTGTGTGTATGAATAATGAATGAGTGCAGTTTGAACGTGAGCAACAACGGCTTGAGGAGAAGTTTAGTGGCCAGCCGGTGGGGCACTGGACGTACCACCCCACAAAGGTATATTGTGCCTTCCATGGTACGAGCTACGGGCGGGTCAGGAGCATCGTCAGGAGGGGCTTGCTGGTGCCAGGTCGGTATGCTCACTCGTGTGTGCGACGATTAAGGACACCAACCTGCGGCCAAACGACACGTGCGTCCTGTGCTGTGGTCCGCTTGTGCAGGCAGCGCCAATGACGTGACCCACAAGACCGACGAAGGCTTTTACGGGCGTGGTGCGCATCCACCTGTGGGGCGGGGGCATTTGTCTCACTCACTCACCTGTTGGCGGTGAATCCTATCATGCTTTTGTACGTGTGTGGTCTGCCCAGGTATATATCTGTCGCCGAGCGCCTCGGTGTCGTTCGGCTACTGCGGTGCTGAGGGCCGTCTGTTAGTGTGTGCGGTGCTGCTTGGGCGTCCATACCGGTGTCACCACACGATTCTGGGAGGCACCAAGGTAGAGGGTTTTGACACCCACATGTCAGCCAATGAACAAGAATGGATCTTCTTCACTCCCGATACAGTAAGGCAGGCAGGAAGGCAGTCAGTCGGTCAGTGAGTGGGTCTCTATGTATGCTGGTGTGAGTTCAGGTGCTGCCGGTGTATGTCATTCGTGTGTGTGACGGTATGGACCGAGCCGTCCCATCCTATGCGCCCAAGCCGCCCCCACTGGCTGCCCTCCTCAATGATGGCATCACAGGGGTAGACTCGCTGCCCACCAAGGGAAAAGGTACGTGCAATGCGTGACCACCAACTCACTCCTAGCACAATGACACCTGTCTAGTGGTTCCCGTTACAGATCCTGGCGCACGCAAGACGGCCCAAGAGCGGCTCCTGGCTCGAGCCAGGAAGGTACGAATGTCAGCTGAGCTGCAGGGGGGTCTCTCCTTCATGTTTCTGTTTTGTGTGTGTGTGTGTGTTTGACATCCAGTTCCTGCCGTACGGTTACGGGCCAGGTGGAGAGAAAATGATTGTTGAGGCAGCGGGGGAGATCGATGACGATGAGTACATATCGATGAACATGCAATTGAGAAAAGGCCCCACTCACCGTGTCGTGTGTTGTCTCTATCAGGGAAGATTATTGGCCCGACCGAGAAATGAATGGCCCTCACCTTGGTGATGAGTTTCAGGCTGCACGTGAGCAGTCTGGTGGAGCGGGGAGCTCAGGGGAGTAATTGCTATGCGTCAGCTGGGGTGTGGTGGTCGGTGGGGAGTCTGCTGTACTGCGAGATATATACAACTTGGTGTGCCCTGCCTGACCTGAGCACTTCTTGTTAATGCATTCAATGCATGATGAATGTGTCGGTGTGCCTCGGGATGCACATGTCCACCGAACGTGCACCGACACGACACACACAGCATGCATGATGGATGCAACCAACACACCTCTCTCCTAGCTTAGCTTAGCTTAGTGTACCATTATTTACACCACACCCTCCAGCCAGACAGGCAGACCCGCACCCACCCGCCCTCACTCACCCACCCCACAGATATAAAGCCAGCCCCCTCAATTGATGCACAAACAAACAGACGTCATGTCATTCAAACGCATCACCAATTGCAGAGAGTACGCACGCATGAACGAACGAACGAGTCATGGCCAGTCGGTATGGAGCAGCCACCCGTCCATTCATCCATACATGCGCAGCGCCACTTACGACACGTGCATCTACAAAAAAGGCATGTAAAACGACGGAGACCTGTCTATGCCCTCCCTCCCTCCCTCCCTCCCCGCCCGGCGATACTCAGCAGCCACTGACCGTCGCGGCAACCTTGAGGTTCACCTCGGCGACGACTTGGTTGCACTTGGGACACAGTCGACGGTCCGACGCGCCAGACCAGCCTGCCCTCAGCTCCTGCACCACACACACGACAAGACAGGCAAGGTGGACGGTGGATGGATGGATGGATGGAGGGCATGGCATACGCACACGTGCAGTGCAGTGCATGCTCTCGTGCACTTGCCTTGAAGCATGGAGTGAAGCAGCAGGTGTGTTTGCAAGGCATCAAGGTCACCGTTGGGTGTGCGTGCAGGCAGATGCAGCACACAGTCGACCCACTAACATCACCATCCCCGCCACCGGCACCAATCCCACCGCCGCCCCCACTGCCCTGTGTCTGCCCCACAGGTTGCTTCTTGTCCTCCTGCTGCTTGTTGGCCGTGTCAAATAACTGCCAGGCGGTCTCCAGCTCCCGCAAGATGTCGCCGCCGACCTCGACGCCATCATGTGATGAGGCCCGGTGCGTCTTGTTCCGAGGCGACCCAGCCTTGGACGCATCATTGGCAGTGGGTGGGGGAGGCGGCGGGTGATTGGGCTTCGGGGGAAGGGTGATGTCGGGCTGCTCCTCCTCCTTCGGCAAAATAGTACCCTGTGTGGCAGGGATGATAGGTGTGGGGCTGATGGGCCCGGGGGAAGCCGATGGCGCCGCTGCCTGTCGCTGCTCCTGTCCCTGGTCCTGCGCAGGCGCCTCATGGTTCGTGGCCGTCCCAACGTGCCCCCGAAATGTGGCGATGTCCTGGCGTCCACCTCCCCCTCCACCACCAGCACCAGCAGCCTTTTTCTTCCGTCGCGATGTCATGGCCACCCACTCCCCTCCCTCACCATCGGCATCCTCCACATCCACCGACGCCTGGACCTCTTCAATGCGGGCGGGCGGTGAGAGCTCCCGCTCCTCCTTGTCCGGCGCATCCTGCTCCTCGGGTGGCATCTGGGCGGCGTCCTCTTCATCGTGCTCAGGCACAGATGTGGGCGGGGTGGGGGGCGGGGGCGCGAGGGGAAGAACGGGTGTGCCTCTAGTCCCCTTGGACGACTTCTTCTTGCCAGCCGCCTTCTTGTCTGTCTTCTTGGGCTTCTCTCTCTTATTGACTGGCTGCTGCTTGGGAGGGGGAAGGGTGGGCTGCGGCTCATCCTTTGCCCTGGCCGCATTGGCGTCTGCACTGCTGCTATCAGGATTCCCACAGTGACCCACTGCATTGAGCTCTGCCAGCAATTCCGCTCCTTGCAGAGGCCTCGACGCGTCGCGAATAGACATGCTCCCCACGCTATTACTCGATGAAGACGCGATGGCGGGCGCCCGTCGGCTCTTGCGAGCAGCACCAGAAGAAGAGGACTCAAGTTCCACATTGCCGCAAGACGCCATGGCCGAGGCCGCGAAGGCATGAGCCCTGTCCTTGTGTGGCACCATCGCTCTGTAGATGCGCAGGAACGACTGCCTGAGCCCTGCCATGTGACCTCTCTTTGGGCACAGCACCGCACACCGACTTGAATCTGACGCCGGCAGGTAGAAGCGAAGGCAGAAAGCCCCCAAGCCCAGGCAAACACAAGTGACGGAAGGCCCCAGAAGCTGGAGGCCGTCCTCGACATGACTCCCCTGGATGCCGACCGTACTGAGAACAAGGTCCACAGCAGCGGCGAGCAACAGGAGGATGGGATCCACAAGGCTGAAAACAAAGTTGGCGCATTGGATGACCAGCAAGAGCGGTGACAGGGCCAGCCACGCCATGCTGCTGAGGAAGGTGAAGACGTGCGTGGCGCAGAAGACCCACAGTAGCGACGGAACCGCCCAAACAAGTGATAGGACAAAAGCCACTGCAGTGCGGCACTCATAATAGCCGAGGACGTGCTGACTGTTGCTCAACACAAAAAGGAAGGCCCAAAAGCGCATCTTGACCAGCCAGCCCGTGTGCCACGAGAAAAGCAGTGCAGGGTGCCTGCTCAAGTACACCGTCGCAACGTCGCTGATGAGCCGATATGCTGCATGGATCAACTGCAGTCAGGCAGGCGACACACAACACAAGCCACATATCACATGGAAAGCAGAGTGAGTGGAGTGGATGGATCCACAGCAAGGTGTGTGAACCGTCTTTTATCGTCCCTTTCCCCAGCCAGCCTCCCTCTTGTCCTTGCTGTCCTTCCCCCTCACCCACCAGTCTGTGGCGGTTGACCCATCCGTGCACCCAGGAGAGGACGGCTGCCATCGCTTGGTCGATGCTGCACATCATCGTGTCGTCGCCTTGTTGCCGCTTGTCCAGCAGGATCTCCTCGATGTGATCCTCCTTCTCGCTGTACTTGCGGCGACAAGACGTGCAGCAGCACAACTCGCTTGACAAATCGCTCCATGGAAAGGCGGGATAGTTCCTGCACATTCAGCAGCCAGCCGGATCCATATCAGTGGCGCGCGGCGTGCGATACGCTGGTCTGTATGAAGGAGCTTACCCGAAAAACCACACCTGTCTGAGCCACGCACAAAACACCACCTCGCATAGGAAGCTAACACAGACACAGACACAGAGAGCAGGCGTGTGTGAGGAGCACTGCTGTGCACTGTGGTGTGGTCTTCTCACGTGATGGTTTGTAGGATAAAGGCAGTCCAGCCGTCTGACATGCCATTGTCCTCCGGTTCGTGGCCACAGGGGACCAGGTGGCACACGATGATGTCCACAACAAATCGGACACTACACATGGACACGACTACAGTACTTCCCTGAACAAAGACAGACACACAGATTTCGTCCGCCGCCTTTCCGCCTTCTGCTGGGCTGAACCTCGCTGCACTTGACATCGCGGAGCTCACCGGTGATGATCTGATGAGAGGCTGTCAAAACCGCGGTACAGCGGAGGCGTCGCTCTGCGCGCTCAGTGGTGGCGTGAAACGGATCATGTGACACTGCGGTTTGGCGCAGCACACGGCTCCCGCGCGAGTCAGGCACACTCTAAATGGCAGTCCATGGTTTTTCTAGACAAACCCATTCGACTTTGCAATACAAGGGATGCATTCGACTTTGCAATGACACGTCGAAAACACGTCAACGAAAATTCTACACGCGCTTTCTCTCACTCAGAGCTCTCGCAATCAGCCTGGCTTTCCGTCGTGTTGCAGGGAAATAGCCTCGATAGCTAGTCTCATAGCCGAGTCGAAATACCCCCTTGGCCTCTGTCATGTCGGATGTGACGAGAGACTCCAGGCCAGCAGTGAACCCCGTGCAGAAAACCACCACCTCAAACGAATACGTCGTCTCATTGTCGAAGCACACTCCATCAGAGGTGAAGCGCGACAACTCCCTGTGAGGCAGCACGCCAATGTCGCGCCGGTAAATGGCCCGCATTATTCCTCGATCCAATACGGGAATGCGGCCTGCACATGAATGAATGACACACACGAACAACCACACTGCGTGAAGTGGCACATCAACGTAGGCACGTGAAGGTGCATTGATGTGCTATCGCCTTGCCTGACAGCATTGCCGTGTATGGCCCTTCTGGCGCCTTGGCTAGTCCATATCGACTCATCCTGCCGAAGAACAGGAATGTGATCATGTTGCCAAGTGCATCGGATACGCAAGCTGCATAGAGAAAGCAGATCACCAATCAGTTGTGTGCACAGCGCATACCTACGTGATTCCTGTCCGCGTACTTGGAACGAAATCAGCAATCACCGACAGCAGGCTTGCGGGGAGACCAAATGGCTTGCGGGGCACAACAACAACAGGAGACCGCACAAACATCGACACGTCGGCCCCATTCTTGCAGCACTCGAGTGCAACGTCCATGGCAGAGTTGCCTGAGGACACACACACATACACACGCACACACATGCCTCAAGCTTCGGCCAGATGATTGGACGGTGTCTTGCGCCATCCAGCTGACCAAAGCCAATAACTAAAACCTTCCTGAACACAGCAGCACGAAAAGAACCACTCACTCATTTGACACACACGACTCATCTTCTCTTGCCGCTCTCCCACTCACCTGTGCGCGAAGCTCCGTCCAGTTGTGAAGTCGCTGCTGTGCAGGATGCTTCCAGTGAACGCTTCTTGGCCAGGGAACGTCGGTGTGTTCGGCACTCTGTCTGGTCCCGCTGCTAGAACGACGTGCCTCACGTGATAGGTGGTCGACGATGTGTGGACGCACCAGACAGATAAGGGCGATGGCGTGATCGACAAGACAGTCTCATTGAAGCGCATCTGGGGCCTGAGTCCCATGATCTCGGCGTATGACTCATAGTAATTCACAACCGCATCGCGTGATGGAAACACTTCTTCGCAGCATGGGAAGCCCAGGAAGGGCAACGAAGAGGTCCACTTGTCTGTGTTCAGGCGCAGGCACTCGTATCTCTCCTTCCAGCTGCTCCCGATCCGGTCAGAGCGTTCAATAAGGACGAACGAAAGGCCTCTCTTGGACAGATGGGCTGCTATCGCCAGTCCACTAAAGCCTGCCCCAACAATCACCGTGTCATATGCGGCATGGGCGGCGTCCATTCGAGCGCAGATCCGCGTCGCACGCGTTCGTTTCACCCCGATGCTCTAGCCCCAAAGTTTCCCCGGTCTATCTGCTGACTATCTGTTAGCTATCTTGCGTCGTAGAGTCCCAGTACCTCGGCATGTTTGGCTTTTCGCAGTCTTCCGGCGCTGCGGCTGCCGCCCGCGCTGATGTCGGCCGTCCTGCTCACCTGGTGCCGTGGATAGAGAAGGTGAGCACAGGAGAAGACCATCTCCTTATGCCCGCCTGGTTCATGCCATGGTGTATTTATCTTCTCTTTGTGTTGTTTCCTTCCAGTACCGTCCGAAGACGATGGATGACGTAGCGCACCAGGAGGAGGTGGTTCGTGCGCTCAAGTCGGCCATCCACAGCGCCAACATGCCGCATCTGCTCTTCTACGGTCCGCCGGGGACGGGCAAGACGAGCAGCATCCACGCCATCGCCCACCAGCTGTACGGGCCCATCTACAAGTCGCGGGTCCTGGAGCTCAATGCGTCGGACGAGCGGGGCATCGGGATGATCCGTGAGCGCGTCAAGAAGTTCGCCCAGGTGCAGGTGCGGTACCACCCCACCGAGGCCAAGGAGTACCCCTGCCCGCCCTACAAGATCATCATCCTCGACGAGGCCGACCAGCTCACCAGCGAGGCCCAGGCCGCCCTCCGCCGCACCATGGAGAACTACACAAGGGTGACGCGCTTCTGCCTCATCTGCAACTACATCAGCCGCATCATCGAGCCGCTCGGCAGCCGGTGCGCCAAGTTCCGGTTCCAGCCCATTGGCGACGACAGCCACCGCAAGCGCCTCGAGCACATCGCCGCCGCCGAGGGCGTCAAGATCGGTGAGGCCGGCATGACCACCCTGCTGCTGCTGGCCGAGGGCGACCTGCGTCGGTCCATCACCCTCATGCAGTCGGCCTACAACCTGCACGGCCCGGATCACCACATCGCCCCGTCCGACCTCCTCGAGGTGGCGGGGTGCGTCAAGCCGGCCGTCATCACGGCCTTCCTGCACACCTGCAAGACGGCCAGCAGCTTCGACGACGTCCAGAAGGTCATCGAGCAGGACCTGGTGGCCGGCGGATACACATGCTCCCAGATCATCCCACAGATCACCGCACGCCTCGTGGGCAAGAAGGTGTCCGAGGGCAACGACATGACCGACGACCAGGACCAGGGCAGCGGCGGCGGCATGCAGCTGAGCACCGAGCTGACAGACCTGCAGAAGGCCAAGATCGCCACCAGGTGCGGCGAAGTCGACTCACAACTCATGGACGGGGCCGACGAGTACCTGCAGCTGCTGAAGCTGGGCGCCGACCTCATGAACATCCTCAAGCAGGGCGGCAACAACACTCGCCCACACCACAACTGACGAAGGGCAGACAGGCAGGGAGGGAGGGAGGGAGGGAGGGAGGCGTGGCTAGCTGTCATGCATGTAGCGAACGACCGGACCGATAGGACAGATGGCCGGATGGATGGATGACGGGGTGGAATCGGTGTGTGTACAGAGAGTGATATCTAGCGTCTGATGTAGCCCTGATGTAGTGTAGCAGCGGTGGACAGACAGACAGCCGCGGGGGATGGATGGCTAGACAATGGATGCTTAGTGCGGGTGCCAGTGGAGTGGATGGAGAGAGAGAGAGATAGCTCATCGTATATGCGATGGGTTTTGCATGATGGAGTTCAATCATACAGGTCTGTCTCCAATTGCCATGTCCTCATCATGCAATCGGCAAAATATCATTGGTCTTCCGTCGTCAGCTAACACCGACGGGCCGCGCAGCGCAAAGGGGAAAAACGAGCGCGGCACACTCAGCCAGGCAGCTGTGTCTGATGAATTGAATTACCCGTCCGTCGGCCATGCCATGCAAGCATTAAGGCAGCAGCACCCAGGCACACCATAATGGAAGGAAGGAAGACTATGATACACAAGACGCATCACGTAAGTGGCGGGCAGCGTCCATGCAGTCGGTGGCCGCATCGCCCCTGCTGTGTCTTGACACGGCAATGAATGCATATGCACACACATGAGACATGAACACCGGACCGGGCCCCTCTATGTCAGCCTCAGCTACCCACCCATCCATCCATCCATGGTGTGGTCCCTTGATAAAACGCAGACCCATACCACATAAGGTGATCGTGCATGATGCACCACGTACATAAATAGCCATGGTGCGATTATGAATCCATCCATCGGTCAATCCATCCATCCATCCATCAGTCAGCCACGAGTGAGCCCATCGTCATTCTTTGACGATGCGGTTTCCATGCAGCGCACAGGAGAGACACAATGCAGTGCGATGGATAGATAGAAACATCGGCAGGGAGTTCCTTCATTCACACGTCGCACAAAGCAGCGAGGAGACAGCTCATCGCACAAAGCACTTCATCGCCAAAACTTTACATATCCCCCCGCCCCTCCTCCCCTCGCGCCATTCGATCAGCTCGTCAGGTGGGCCTCTGGCGGCGGCTGTGTGCCGTTGATAGCGCGCAGCTTGTGGATGTAGCGCATCGCCGATTCCATGAAGTAGTCCATAGTCTCGGCATTGGTCGACACTTTGTTCTTGCTGGCGAAGTAGGTGAAGAAGAAGAATTCAAAGAATGCGAGCAGCACCAGCAGCACGAGGTTGTCCCGCAGGATGCTCCGCCAGTTGATGTCGGCGAGTTTGGTGGTGGAGGGCGAGATGAGGGGCACCAGCAGCACCCAGGCCACGCCCGTCATGATGACACCCACATTGAACCAGATGGCGTCGAAGACCAGCTTGGCGTTGGCGTGTCGACGCCGCGTCCGCTCCTCCAGCGCCTTGAGCCGCTTCTCCTCCAGATACTTGTCGACGTACTTGTCGACTGTCGAGGGGTCGGACGCGGATAAGTCGTCAAGCAGCTCGTCGTCGGTCCGCAAAATCTGTTGCGCCTGCGCCTCAGTCATGTTGAGAGCCTCCCAATACGGCACCCCGTCGGACGACGCCAGCACAGACTTGGTGTGCCGGAACACGTCCGCCTGCAGCCGTAGCTGGCCTATCAGCTGATCGCGGGCAGCCTGAGGGGATGGATAACCAGGTTGGATGGATGGATGGAAACCGCGTGTGTGTATTGTATGGTTCTTCCCTTATTGTGTTGTTGTGTGACTGAGTCACCTCACCTTGTCGGTGAGTATTTTGACGCTGTGGTAGAGGATCCACCTGCCCTCTTTGGTCCTCTCGAGGTCGTGGACGGTGTCCTTGGCGAAAATGTAGCCGGCGTTGTTCATGGTCTCCATGTAGGAGTCGGTCTCCACACGCGTCACGTAGATGAACTGCACACACACCATTCAGCCAGATACGATACAGCCATCTGTGACTGACGTGACACTCCACCTTCACTTGACTCGTCCGCTCACGTAAAAAAGGGTTTCGACAACCACAATCAGGGAGATGTGAAAGAGGGCACTGACACAGCAGGCAGGGCACAATGAATGGCACACGAGTGAGAAAAGCAGCACAGCACAGCACAGCCACCCCAACGGTTTGTGGCTTCTCTTCTCACCTTGTGATGATACGGTAGAAGTCCTTGGATATCCGTAGCCGTGTCCTTGATATGCAGGCTAGGGCAGCGGTGGTGCAGCGACAAAAGACCTTGGTGCTCGCGCTGACGGCCGAAGGGGTGGTGACCGGGATGAAGCCAGATGAGAGATCCTCGTAACTGTCAGGCCTCGTTGGGAGTGACCGCGCTGTTGGCGACATGTGGCCGCATGACTCAGCATCTGTGGCCATCGTGAGTCGCTCCTCGACCGGAAGCGACAGCCTTAGACAGATAGGGACGACAGCTCTCTGACGCGCAGATCTATCCTGGAAAGGGGGTACGCCGATGAGGAGCCACGTACTGTGTGCTCTAAGCCCTCGTCGCTTCCAGGAGGGAGTGAGCGAGCAGTTTCGCGGAATGTCCTAGGCCTTCCAAACGCACGTTCCATCAACACAGCGATTTTTCTGACCATCATAGGGTGGCACGTGCGTGTCGAGTGGGTGGGTGGGTGGGTGGGATGGGGAGACAGGCCGTGTGCATGCTTCTGTGCATGTGCATGCTGCTACTTTAGTGCGTGACCTGGACAGGATCCCCTCGGGGTTACAGACACGAGTCTCGCTCGTTAAACACAATAACCAACCAACCAACCAACACGCGCCCATACTTCACTCCACTCCACCCCCTGCTCGACCAACGTCAACATCTGACTCATCAGCTCAGATCTGTCTACCAGGTGTGCCAATCCTCGCTGTCTGCGTCAGGCGTGCCAAGCCAACACCACACACGGAGAGAGAAGGCAACAACCATCCTCTTCTGTGTATGTGTGTGTGTGTGGTTACAGGCGGTGAAGGAGACTCTGCGTCAGCTGTGCCTGTACAACATCATGACAGCCACTCGAGTGGTTCGCTCTTCAGCGATACATATTGGCGATATGTCGAGGCCTTCGCCGAGCGGTGCTCCACCCAGGCACACATATCAGAGAACGGCCTCCCCCCCTTCTCTGATATGTGCGCCGACGCATCATCGACAAGCTCTATCGTGACGCCATCATCGACAGTCGGCAGATGTCAAGGCAGGACTTTCCGGACTGTGTGGAGGGGGAGAAGGGCAACGAGCTCTCCAACGAGCTCTCCAACATGGCATGGAGTGTGCTCGCACTCAGAATCAATGGCTGGAGGTCGGTGAAACGAAAAAAAAAACACGTGGGAGGCGCACACAATTTCCCGCATGTTTTTACGCATTTATGCGCGTCATGTCCGTGTGTGTGTGTGTTGAGCATTTATAGGTATGCCGGCATGCTTGAGGCTGGTGCGGTGACAAAGGCCGTATGTGGACGTGCAAAATGCTGCTCAGGTGAGCGAATACCAGCACACACACACACACACGCATTGCCATCAGCTAGTAATGCTCACTCACTGTTCAGTGCATGCTGTCCTGCGCACGCAGGAACACAGAGTGCGAAGAGATGGCGGCAAAGAATAACGCACCCTGTCCGCTATATGGATAGGAAACGATGGCATTCATTTAATTTGTGTCTTGTCGTTTCTTGAAACGATTTGGTCTGTCAGTGAGAGCTAGAAGACGCCTGCGGACCTGCACAGTATCTGCACATCTAGACTTGATGTCTGATCCTCTTCATTTTGCGTCCAATTCAGTATTGCCTCCACGTCTCTGCCCCTGTGGCTTTGTGTCTGTCTGTCTGTCTGTCTGGCTGTCTGTCTTCGTGTGTGTGTACGTATCTCTGCGTGTGTCATCTCGGGTGTGTTTGTCCTCTTGTGGGCACTGTGTGTCGGTGGTTCATTAGTGACTCGCCTCATGCATGTTCCAATGAATGATTCTTTGTTGATGTCAAGACTGGTCCCTGGTTGCGTCGGATAAAGTCTCGCATCGCATCATCAGGACACACGCACGTACATCTCCATGCACAGCACACCACTCACTCGATACGGACACACACACACACACACACATACATACAGGTGTATTTAATTGCGCTTCGCCTTGTCGCGACGTCCACAATGAAGTCGCATCATCTCTTCTCTCGGTGACACTTTACCTACAGCACAGCAGCCAGGCAGGCAGGCAGGCAGGCAGGATGGCAGGAGCCAGGCGGGGAGCGAGAGCAGAGAGAGCACGCCCATTCGTCGAGAGAGGCACATCCAAAAAACGTGTGCGTGCGTGCGTGGAGGAAAATCGAAGCTCTCGCCTGTCTGGAATCAACAAGACGGCTCCCGTGTCCATCCCTTTACTCGACAAGCCGATAACTATACACCGTCCGTCATTCATCGTCCGTCCGTCGTTGGCCATACATATCACATTGCTCATATATATACACACCACCAACACACTCACTCACGTCTCGTACAACAAACAACACATCCACAAGACACTATAAGACACGTCAGTCAGTCAGTCAATCAGCGCTAATCCCTTGATCCATCCATCCATCGACGGCAGGCAAGAGGCCCCGAAAAATGTTCGGGCTCTCATGGTATGGCGGAAATAACCAATCGATGGTGTGGCGTATGTACGTGCCTAGACATGAGGTGGCGTACAGCCTAGCATTGTCGCGCTAGCCTGTCTGTGTATTCCACAAATACCGACAGCCTGGGAATACCTACAACTTGATGAAACTAACGACAAATACAAAAAGCAATGAATAAAAACAAAACAGCACGCGTCAAAAGCATCTCGTGGCGTCAAAAGCATATCGTGTGAAGACAATACAACTGTTCTGGCTGGCCAGGGCACAAAACAGAACCCAATACACTACAATAAATAAAGAAGATATCCATCCCTCCCTCCCTCCATTCCCATCCCTATGGCTGACGGCCCCTCTCAGCTATCCCACAGATCTTGAGGAGGTTCCCCTCCGTCGTCAATCCCGGACCGAACGAGGCCCTGAGCCACACAGGAAAAGGATGTATTGAGAGGGATTGCAGGCCATTGCTATAACAGTCTGTCACTTACATCATAGCGTATGGTTTGAGTTTGTCTCTGGGCATCTTGCGTAGTTCGTCAAGGACGAAGTAGACGGTG